ATGTGTTTGTGTTTTGATGTCCTGAGGGTCAGTATGAGCCACTGGCTGGATCAATCCTTGCTGACGCGCTCAGAGCAGCACAAATCACTAGCTGTAGCATACACACACACACACACACACACACACACACAAATCACCCCCAGATGTAGAAAGCAATAGAAGCAGACTCATTCCCCTCCCTTGCTTTTCCATAGACCATTAGATGTATTGACGATTCCACATCCAGTATTTTTTTTCCTCTAATTGGTTTACACACAGCTGACCGGACAGTGATGCTAATGATGCCGGAGTACCCTGTAACACAGTGTTCAGTACAGGCTCTGCAGTCCATGGAAATATGGACTGCTGCTGTTCTTTCCAGCATCGATTCTCTCTGAGCAGCAACAGCAGCAACACTCTGCTCTTCTGGTAAATCTCTTTCTCTGCCTCTGCTCTCCGAGGGATGACAGTGAATCTGCTCGTGTGCTCCTCACCTGCTTGTTCCAGTATCAGCCTTTTACTCTGCGGGGGTTCAGGTCACTGAAGGTCTCAGTCATAACCAGGAAGCAGGGGTGCGAGGGAAGGATGAGGCCCTGGGTTCGTTCCAACAGGTCCAGATCAGTCCAGGTAAGATTTGTCTCTCATTTGTCATTAAGTCATGAGACGACATGTTCTCTTGATCACTCTGAAAAGTGTCGCTTGAAGATAAATAAACTTGATTGCCAGTTTATTAGGTACACCTATAGCCAAAACTAGTGCACTCTAATACAACATGCATTAAATCCTACCTTCATGAAGGTTATAATGATCAGGTTACATTTGAGAGGTGTTGATTTAATTATAGATGTTGATCTAATATTTTGTCCACAGCATTTATATCAGTGAGAACAACCAAATTGCCTCTTTGTATAGTTTAATATAATTATATATAATAATTTCAACAGCACCATAAACTACATCCTCCAAATGTCCATGCTGTTTTGTTTTTTGTTTTTTTGTGAGGGGTTGCGGGGTTGTATTAAATCCAGATTTAATACAAATGAACATATATAATTTTGCTTTTTTAGCCAAATTTTTTTATACCAATCAACCAAAGTAAATAGTAAGTGTGATATAACATCAAAATGGTGCCACTGTGTGTGTGTGTGTGTGTGTGTGTAACTCTTTCTGGAACAAATTTAACCTAACTGCATCTACACTGCATGCAAATAAAAAGACCCTGACATCTCATTAATGATAAATATTAATGAAGTCAGATTCTCTAACAATAATGCAATAATGCAGCTTTGTGGGAAATCTTTTTGGCTTTGTAATTGAAACATCACAATTACACATATTGTAGAGTAGACGACGACTTTAGATTCTGTCACACAGATATGTTTTCATCTCTGTTTCCAAACCTTTGAGGAGTCTGTTCTCTGTGCTGATCAAGACAAAATGTCAACACAAAGTAATTGTAACATGAATACAGAGTTTATGTTTCACTGTAGTGTAAAAAGACTATATACTCTAAACCTGACATGTGATGTGAATTTGGATTATTATTGTCTGATTAGGTAATATAAGGATATCTGGACCATAGAGCCTCTAACTGGTGTGCACAGTGTAGCACTGTAGAAACTGTTAAAAATGACAATTTTATTAGGGGAACGGTATTAAAAAACTAAAAAGTTCAATTGTGGGTCTCAGCGGCTTAGGATCCAAGAGCCATTTAACCATTTACTGAGTGAGGGAGGGTGGTCAATGAATGGATGGAGGAATGAGTGAATGGGTGGATGATTTTTCTGTACAAGAAACGAACAAAAGTCAGTACATTCCCATTTATACTGTAACAAAAATATTTTAAAAAGTGAGATAGTTTACATTATTAATGCATCCACAGAGGTAAAGAAGGAATCTGGAAGGCCTTTACCTGGATTCTGTTTATCCTGCTTACAGAAAAGTAAAGAAAGTAAATACAGGATAGAAAATTATATAACTACTTTCTCTGCCAAATGAAAACAATTGTCCTTACTTACAGTGTTCAACTGATCTCAAAGGAAATATACTAAGTAGCTGTAAACACGACATATGATCTGCTTCCACAGATTTCTGCCTCAAAGTATCAAATGACTTCAAACAATACTTCAGGATCTGTCAAATACACCATAAATCTGGATTCAGAGCATGTAAACAGGATTCAAAGGAAATAAACAATAAGTGATCACAAACAGCTTACTGATGTGGCAGCATGGTCTTTGTAAAGAACACACCCAGTCCTTATATAACCTCTTCTACCTCACCCCCCCCCCTGCTCTGACAGGTGAATCTCTCCACCCACCCAGTCTCACAGAACCGAAACTAAAGCATGACATTCTTCAACAGTAGGTATCAGTAGGTTTAGTGGAGTTTGGTGTGGAGACACAGGAGTGTGGATCAGCTGTTGCTCTCCATCAGTGGAGGTCAACCGTGCTGACAAGTTTTTCTTGAGAGTTTTCTCTCCACCTGTGATGAAAGGTGAGAGGACATGAGAGCCAGCTGA